ATTACAAGGAGAAGGTGACTTTTCAGGACATTACCCCATGTCCCCACTTTTCAAAACGCTTATAAATCACACAGAATGGAGTGTATTGAAAATCTGAAATAGCAGAAAGTCTCCTGTGAGGGGTAGGTTTAGGGGTAGGGTTGGTGTAGGGCAATAGAATATACGCTCTGTACAGTATAAAAACCATTACACCTATGGAGAGTCCCCACTTTTCACAAAAACAAACCTGCGTGTGTGTGTGTGTGTGAGAGAGAAAGTGTGTGTGTGTGTGTGTGTGTGTGTGTGTGTGTGTGAGAGAGAGTGTGTGTGGGGGTGTGTGTGTGTGTGTGTGTGTGTGTGAGAGAGAAAGTGTGTGTGTGAGACCTGTGGTTGGGACGGCGTCGCGTTGAAGCTGAATTTCTTGTCTGTCCTGTGAAGAGAAAAGAAAAGCATGACATTCCTAAAGATCGGGGCGAACAGGATGCTAAAACGACTAAATCACCAGCTTCAGGCCACAGGTTTACAGCAGTTCACCAAGCGTCTGTGAAGCGGTCTGGATCAGCCAAAGCCTGACTCTGCTCAGTGACTCACTGCAGCGTGAAGCTGTCCACGCGGCTGACGCGCAGCTGATACTGGATCCCAGCGCTGGACAGCGTCGACACGTCCACGAAGAAGAACTGCGTCTCTGCCACGGCTTTGGTGGGCGGCTGACACAGCGTCCGGCCCAGCTGCGTGTACTGGTACTTCCTCTGATACCTGCGCAGACACTCACCGTTACGGTCACTTACATCTACATACAGGGTTTCTGTCCTGAAAAGCTCGTACATCAGAGCAGAAAGTCTTAAACTCAAAGTCATGGCATTAAATGTTGCACACACTGCAAAAAATTATATTTCTGTCCTGTTTTCTAATGTAAATATCCAAACATTCTTAAATCCAGATTCAATGCTTTGCTTTTACTCACGCTCAAGTTGTTCCAAACCGGCATGAGTTTATTTCTTCTGTATCTGGTACAGTTTGTATTTGATGTGTTTCTATACTACGGGAGTCAGAGGGGACCAGCAACTCTTTGGTTCCCCACATTCTTCAAAATATCTGCTTTTTTGTTCAACAGAAGAAAGAAACTCATAGTTTGGAACAATATGTAAATTATGTCCGAACTTTATTTTTTGAGTGAACCGTTTCTTTAAAAAAATGCTTTTATTGCTTCATTTGTGCTGCTTGTGCAAAAACAGAAGTTCTTGAGGAACTGAGAGATCAAAGTTCACACACGAATGAACAAATCATCAAATCAGAGTCCAAAATTAACTTCGACAGCTGATTATCATCTGACTCCAGCAGTATATATACACATGTATATTATTATATATATACAGTATATACACTCACACACAGTTATGTACTGAACTAACATCACACTTTATATTATGAATATTGTTGGCTCCTTGACAAACTGGTTTTGTTGCTTTGGATATATTCATTTCTAATTTAATGAACACTGGTTTATTTAATTAACTAATTAATTTAATTTGCCATAATCAATAAAAATACTTCATATCATATACTTCAAATACCCCAAATTTAGATTTAAAATCTATATTTTGTTGTTGACTTTGGAGACCGATGAACTCTCACTCATTTTGATCAGGTTATTATGGGATGTGGAGTTGCTAGGCAACAGCTGTACTCACAGGCCTCTGAGGATGAGGGGAACCTGGAAGGACAGAACGGCCTGTTTCTGCCGGACCACGAACAGAACCGGACTCTGAGCGCTCTCCGACATCAGCTCCACACACAGACACACACACACAGAGACAGAGACACACACACACACACACACACACACACACACACACACACAGACAGAGAGAGAGAGACGAGTGTATTATGTGTTTATGGGTAGAAACACTAATTAACACAAAGACAATGGAAAGTCTATTTACCTCATAATCAATGTTTTTTCTGTTGAGCGCGATGTTAATGGTGAACGTGGAGGAATCATGATGCGGACGGAGCGACGGCTGCTCATCAGGACGATAACGAACCACAAAATTCATCACAGCCTGAGCCTGTAACACACACACACACACACGTTTGTGTCACTCAGTTATTTTACACTCATTTACACTAGTGTTCAGTAGTTTGGGATAAATAGGATTTCATGTTTTTTAAAGAAGTCTCTCCTGCTCAGCAAGGCTGCATTTATTTGGTCAAAAATACAGTGAAATATTATTATAATGTAAAACAGCTGTTTTCTGTGTGAATCTGTGTTAAACTGTAATGTATTTCTGTGATGCGCAGCTGTATTTTCAGCATCATTACTCCAGTCTTCAGTGTCACATGATCTTCAGAAATCAGTATAATATGCTGATCTGCTGCTCGAGAAACATTTCTGATTATTATCAATGTTGAACACAGTCGTGCTGCACAATATTTTTGTGGAAACTGTGATGCATTTTATTTTTCAGGATTCACAGATGAACAGAAAGTTCAGAAGAACAGCATTTATTTGAAATAGAAATCTACTGTAACATTATAAATGTCTTTACTCTCACTTTTCATCAATTTAATCTTTGAAAAACATATTGTATCATTTATCACAAAAATATGAAAATATGAATTGATAATCAGAAATGTTTCTCGAGCAGCAGATCAGCATATTATAGTGATTTCTGAAGATCATGTGACACTGAAGACTGGAGGAATGATGCTGAAAATACAGCTGCGCATCACAGAAATACATTACAGTCTAACAGAGATTCACATAGAACACAGATGTTTGGAATTTAAAATCTAAATGTTGATTAGCCTGAGATTTAACGGACTGTCGTCTCACCTTCGGATAGTATCCTGGGTAGAGTTTCTCCGTCACAGGAACGATGTAGTCTTTGAGGAACTTCAGCCACTCTTTCTCATACTGGATCTGATTCATGTGAATATCGACTGTAGGAACGTTTTCATAACCTCCAGATAACCGTTCATCCTGAGAGAGACACACACATGAGCTGCTGATTTACTCGCACACGCACAATCACACACACACACGCTCACTCACACACACACACACATACACACACACACGCTCACTCACACACACACTCA